CTTTATTTATTTATTTGAGAGACAGAGATCACAAGTAGGCAGAGAGGCAGGCAGAGAGAGAAAGGGAAGCAGGCTCTCCATTGAGCAGAGAGCCCGATGCGGGGCTCGATCCCAGGACCCTGGGATCATGACCCGAGCCGAAGGCAGGGGCTTTAACCCACTGAGCCACCCAGGCGCCCCCAGTGCGCAATTTCTTATTTTAATTATCCTTTTATATTTATGATCATGTTATCCTGGACAAAAAGTTCACTGCAAAAACAATGAACATATCCTCAGAAACCGTGAATTTCTAAGTTACAGATCAGAATGTCTCCTGTCTCATTAACTCACTATTCTTGCACCGTACTTAGTATATTTGCTGTTTTTGTATCAGATACTTAAATCAGACTTTATAAAAATCTTAAGACCAAGCCTTCAGATGATCTTTCCCCAGAGTCCAATCCAATCCTACGCTTGAACAATGGATCAGCGTCCGCTGGGCCAGCCTACAAACTGTCATGAACTTTGCTAATACAAGGTGGGATCACTGCCAAGCACTTGAAATACATGATTGTGTTTTAATAATAATTTATGTATATCTAGGTGTATATAATGCTTTGTGGGTCATTTGTTTGTAAAAATTTTATTTTTAAAGGTCAGGATAATCTGTGGCATTTTAAAAAAAATGTCAATTCAGTGCGTCGTTGACTCCTTTGAACAGTCTTTGATGAGAAATTGGTTAGAATGTTAGAAATTGGTTAGAATGTTAGAAATCGGTGAATGTTAAATCTTGGGTTCTACAGAGCTATTGGAGTGTTATCTCTTGGTTCTCTTCAGAGAGGACATTTGTTAACCAGATATTTGGGTTTTTCCCCCCACACAGAGTGCTATGATCTGAAAGTATGCCTTTAGATACTGTGAAGCCATTGTTTTCCATTTAGCCAAGTATCTACTTAAATTGCTGATGGATGTCCTCAAGAATTTAGTTTGATGGTTCTCTTCATTCATGGGTATATATGTATATATACATAGAGTATTAAGACTGCCAATGTCTTTGCTGAAAGTGGATACAGGATAGGAACTCGCTGTGTTTCGAATCTTCACTTCAGAGATAAAGAACTTATAAGCTCTCCCCTGTGCCAAAAGTGAAATGTACAATGTTTACAAATGTCTGGAATTTTGCACTGCCATAGGCTATGCTGAGCGTCTCCCAGAGGGTGATGACGGGAGTCGTAGGTTAGCATCTGAGGAGAGAGACTGAGGACCTAAAGCTAAACTGGAAGTGAGTGTCTGAGGTAGTGGTTGAGGTGACTCCCTGACCCAGTCTGGGGACAGTTTTTCCAGATTGCTTTGCGACATCCTGTCCGCGGAATGCGCTTTCCTCGGTCGCCATGGCTACATGCTTCCTTTATAGGAGCCAACGATCTCTTCTCTCCTGTGGGAGAGTGTCCCCCAAGCATCCTGAGATCTTTCGGTAGGAGCGCGCAATCCCAAGTAGTGCCCTTATTGGCGGATGTGGCATTGTCAAAGGAAAACCGCTGGGTTTACGGTCCCTCTGTCAGAGGCTTTCGGATGACTGAAAATGTGGCAGGTTTGTGGATCTGCAGACAGTGGTAGCTGATCCTTGGTTGCTTATCTGAGGTCCAGGCTGCCGCTGCCGCTGCACGTGGTTTTCCTCTACCCAGGATCCTTTCTCGTGTCTTCTGGGAGCATAGGACAGCGAGCAAGAGTCCTCATTTCTTGGGTGAGAATGGGTCAAGAATTTTAAAAAGGGTCAAATAGTACTGTCAGAGCAATTCTTTTCTCAGAGTTCTTGCTGTGATTTGGCACAAGCTCTTTTGAAAATAGACATTATCACTACGATTCTGACAATTTATTAGAGCACCTGATATCTTATCTCAAGGCATTTTTTTTTTAACAGTAACTACTTTGATGTCATACCTTTCTCCTTCCTTCTTCCCTTACTGTTGCTCTTTTTTCCTCAGAGTTCAAAGTGGTCTACTTTGGGATATTGCTTTTATACCAAAGGCTTTCTGTATCACCCCCCAGACGGTTGGAACGACTGTATATTTAGATAAGGTTCCTCTTTTCCCGTCAGTTCTGGGGAATATTTCTTCGCCAGGGGTAGGTGGTGGATTCTAGCAGTAAGGAAGGGAAGCTGTGAAATCAGAGCTACTGTCTAATAAAAAACTTGTAGTTGGGGCGCCTGGGTGGCTCAGTGGGTTAAGCTTCTGCCTTCGGCTCAGGTCATGATCCCAGGGACCTGGGATCGAGCCCCTTATCGGGTTCTCTGCTCAACAGGGAGCCTGCTTCCTCCCCCTTCTCTCTCTGCCTGCCTCTCTGCCTACTTGTGATCTCTGTCAAATAAATAAAAATAAAATCTTAAAAAAAAAAAAACCAAAACAAAACAAAACAAAAAACTTGTAGTCGAGACTTGCAATTGCAACTTCCTTTGTGTCCATGATGGGGCAGCAGGGGAATGAGCTCTCCCGTTGTCTCAGCACTAAGAAACAGAGGCCAGCCTTCCCCCTATGATTTGCCTCGTTTTTTTCCCTTCCTTTCAAAATAATCAAAACGTCTCCTTTGGTTTTTTTTCTTTCCTCCTTTAAGAAATAACAGAAAACGTTTTGAAAGGGGAATGAAATGTTTCTGGCCTCCTCGGTACTTGGCAAGGTAGCAGTTGTGAGCAGCCTCTGGGTAGGCCTCTGTCCTTAGTCTACAGGCAAGCACTGGGAAGTGCTTTTGGGATGGAGATA